ATGTTTGTTTACTTATTTCGATTAAGCATTGCCAGAGTGCTCTTCTGAATTGCTGTGCTTGTCTACAGTTCACCAGCAGGGTATTACCTGGCTTCCTAACTTTTGCTTAACAGATACAAAGTTATAGCTCATTCTTTTCGTTTGTATTTACTCTTATTCATGATTTTGAGCATCTCTTCAAAGGCTTGTTCATTTTGGGGGTTTTATCTTCTGAAAATTGCCTTTCCCTAGGTCTTCTTTGTCCATTTCTCTGGATTATTATCTTTTCCTTGCTGATTTGAGAATTTTTTGTGCATTCTGAATATTCTCTCCTTTTAGTTTTAGACATCACAAATAACTTTTTCCATTCTGTCATCTATGAACATTTTTCATGGTGCTTGTTGCTAAACAGAAAATTTTAATATTGATGTATTCGTTAAGTATTTTTGCATCATGTTTTGTGTGTTTGAAGTTTTGCTTTAAAAATCTCTTTTGTCATTAGGTTACAAAAACAGGTTTTCATCTTTTTGAATGGAATACACTTTTTTTTTTTTCTTGAGATGGAGTCTCACTCTGTCACCCAGGTTGGACTGTAGTGCTGCCATCTTGGGTCACTGCAACCTACATCTCCTGGGTTCAAGTGATTCTCCTGCTTCAGCCTCCTGAGTAGCTGGGATTACAGGTGCACGCCACCATGCCTGGCTAATTTTTGTATTTTTAGTAGAGACGGGGTTTTACTATGTTGGCCAGACTGGTCTCGAACTCCGGACCACAAGCAATGCACCCATCTTGGCCTCCCAAATAGCTGGGATTACAGGCATGAGCCAACTTGCCTGACTGAATGGAATACACTCTTATCCCTACACTTTCACCTCTCACATTTAGTCTTTACCTAGATTCCTCCTTTGCATAAGTCGATAGACTGGAATTCAGCTTTATTTTTTCCATATGTTAAGCTAAAGCCATTTTAAAAATATGATCTATTAGCCACCAGTGCTTTCCCCATTGATTTGAGATGGCTACTTTATCATATACGAAGTTTCCACATACTCGGCCTCCAGTCTTTGAGCTTTCTGTTCTGTTCCCTGACTGTGTGTCTACTCTGGTGACATACCACCTGGGGGCATTGGTCCTGCTCTGGGGCCGTCCTGCTGGCTGGCAGAGCAGGTCCCATAGCTGCTGCTTTTTCAGATTGGCTTGGTTGTTGTGAGCCTTTCATTCCTTCCTGTACATTTTACATTAAGATTTCTTAAGCTTGACTGGGGTTGTGCTGAATTTGTGTTAATTTAGAAATTGTGGCTGGGTGCGGTGACTCGCGCCTGTAATCCCAGCACTATGGGAGGCTGAGGTGGGCAGATCACAAGGTCAGGAGATCGAGACCATCCTGACCAATATGGTGAAACTCCATCTCTACTAAAAATAAAAAAAATTAGCTGGGTGTGGTGGCGTGTGACTGTAATCCCAGCTACTTCGGAGGCTGAGGCAGGAGAATTGCTTGAATCAGGGAGCCAGAGGCTGCAGTGAGCCGAGATCGTGCCACTGCACTACAGCCTGGTGATAAAGCAAGACTCCATCTCAAAAAACAAAACAAAACAAAAAAAACAAAAAGAAATTGTATTAGTAGATGTAATTCTTTTTCTACAATGTTTTAAAGTAATGACCACATTTAGAATTTTTCTTCGGCTTTTTCTTAAACATATAGGTTTTTATCTATGTGAATTTTTTTCATCTGCTCCTTTCTGCTAGTCTGACCCCTGAATCCTCTCCCCAGTACCCATTTCCCACCTCTCTTGTTAACCCAGTAGTGTGGGACACCACCACCCCGTCCCTAGCTGCTCACCATTATCCCATCAAAATCCAATTAAAAGACCCCTCCAAATTTCCCAATGTTCCCCAATACCCCATCTCTCTCACCCACCAAAAAGGCCTACAGGCCATTATAAACAAGTTCTGCTTGTGTGGTTTCCTTAGACCAACTCACTCTCCATATAACACCCCCATCCTCCCTGTTAAGAAATCAGATGGCTTGTACCAACTCATCCAGTACCTCTGAGCCATCAATTAGGCTGTTGTCCCTATTCATCCTGTAGTCTCTAACCCCTATACACTTCTCTCTCTTGTCCCCTCCAACAGTACCCACCATACCGCCATTGACCTAAAGGATGCCTTCTTTACCATTCCCTTATACCCTGATTCCCAAAACCTTTTTGCTTTCACCTGGACTGACCCTGAGACCCTTCAATCACAACAACTCACATGGACTGTCCTCTCCCAAGGCTTCAGAGATAGTCCTCATTTCTTTGAACAAGCTAGCCTGAGACCTCACCTCCTTAGACCTTTACCCCAACCGTCTTCTTCAATATGTGGATGACCTCCTTCTCTGTAGCCCCTCCCTAGAAGACTCTCAAACTTACACTATTACCCTTCTAAACTCTCTTGCTAACAAAGGATATAAGTTCTCCCCTTCCAAAGCACAACTTTCCACCCCAACAGTAACATACTTAAGAGTCCAACTCTCTCCCAGGGCCTGAGCCATGACCCCAGCATGGGCAGCCTTAATAGACAGCCTACCTCCACCTTCTTCTAAGAGTAAAATTCTCTCTCTCTTAGGACTGACAGGTTTCTTTAGGATATAGATTCCCAACTTTGCCCTCCTAGCTTGCCCCCTCTATAAAGCAGCCAAAGCCACCCTCAATGAACCCCTGAGCCCCTCACATAACATACTACTCAGTTTCCACAAGCCCCAAACTGCTCTTATGACTGCACCAGCCCTGTCCTTACCTGATATCTCCCAACCTTTCACTCTCTATACTGCTGAAAGCCAAGGGATATCCTTCGGTGTCTTAGGGCAACAGGAAAGAAATCCTCCTTCCTTTGCCCCTGTAGCTTACCTCTCTGAACAACTAGACAACACAGTCAAAGGGTGGCCAACCTGTCTTACAGCACTAGCAGCAGCGGTCATTTTAGCTCTGGAAAGCAAGAAACTTACATTCGGCCAAAACACCACTGTCCACAGTCATCACAATTAACGAGATCTCCTCTCCTCTGGAGGATTAAGCTCCTTTTCTCCTTCCCGGATCCAATCACTCCATGCCCTCTTTATTGAAAATCCCGAATTCTGTCTTGCCAAAAGTGCTCCCCTCAACCCGGTGTCCTTACTCCCCAGGGGAGTCCTCTTCCTCTTCTACTCATTCTTGCACTGACACCCTAGACCACCTACAGCCACATTTTCCGAACATCTCTGAGCCTCTCACCAACCCCAATGACCAGCTATTCATAGATGGCTCTTCCTGCGGGCCCACTGACTTCCCCAAAGTGGCTAGATGTATGGTCGTTTCTCTTAACTGAGTAATTAAAGCCAGGCCCCTATGCCCAAAACCTCCTCCCAAAAGGCAGTACTCATAGCCCTCACTAGGGTCCTAACTCTTTCCAAATGCAAATGAGCCAACATTTACACAGATTCCAAATACACCTCACATTCTGTATTCCCATGCCACCATCTGGCAGGAGAGAGGATTCCTTACTGCCAAAGGCACCCCCATCACTGACAGACCCCTCATTTACCAACTCCTTCAGGCTGTGAACCTCCCCACTAAAGTGGGAGTTACACACTGTCAGGGACATCAAATAGGATCAGATGAGATCTTAAGAGGGAACAGAAAGGCCAATAAGGTAGCAAAGGAACTCTCCCTTTCTTCTGCACCTGCCTCCCTCCTCATTACTCCCACAATCCAACCCCAATATTCTCCCACCAAAAAAGCTTCGCTACTGCAACAAGGAGCTTCCTTCCAAGGAAACTGGCTAGTGAAAAATCAAAAACTCATCCTCCCCCAAGAACAAACCAAAGAAATTCTAACATCCCTTCACTAATCTTTCCATATTAGTGCCTACCCCCTGTATCTTCTCCTTTGCCCATATTTCTCTTCCCTGCACCTATTTGCCTTACTAAAAGACATAGCCAGTTCTGTCTGCCTAGCCAAAGTATATTTTTCTCGTGCGGAACTTCAATCTATGTGTGCCTCCCTATGAATTAGACTGGTACTTGCACCCTAGTCTTCTTAAGCCCCAAAACTGACATTGCCCCTGGAAATCAGAGTTTACCAGTCCTTGTTAAAGCTCAAGTCCATCAACACAGAGCCGTACAGCTAATACCCCTGCTTGTAGGACTAAGAATTGCCACTGCAACAGGAACAAAGCTAGCAGGCTTGTCCACCTTCCTGTCCTACTATCACTCTCCTTCAAAAGATCTCTCAGACAGCCTACAAGACGTAGCCAAATCCATCCTTACTCTCCAATCCCAAATAAACTCTTTTTTTTTTTTTGTTAGAACAACTCAGCAAAATAAAATTCCTGTTTATTGTTGGACAACATTGTTTCACACATACATCAAACAGGCCAAAAAAAAATAAACAGCAACTTCATAGACAAAAAAGGAAAAAAAAGAAACCTTTTATCTTTGGCCTTTTTAACCATCTCATACAAACCAACTGCTTATAGTACAGCTAAGTACATACACACACAAGTTACTGGAATGCTCGGAATAAGATTGTTTTTCTCTTGTCGTTTTTGCTTTTTTTACAAGGTTTTTTTTCTCCTTTGAGATTATAATGAACA